TTTCGAGACATTGTGAGGATCTGGATATCTTCAGTTAGCCACAGATGGCTTAAAGTAGTGTCCGTTTATTTTCAGCCCCTGATATTTTTCATGGAGTGTTTCGAAAGTCTCTTCTATTAATGCTGTGAATTACTTCGATGCTATAGTATCACGACCCTTTTTCAGATTTTGAACTTGCTAGCGTTTTCGTGAAACTGCATTCAGGCCGTTGCGTTCTTATAACTAGTGACGATGGCGTGTTTTGCCGATTTTCTGACTCCACCGAGCAGCTGATATAGATTGAATGTAGAGTGAGTTGATAGCATTTTCGAAATTAACAGATACCAGGCCAAGCGAAGTTGATATGCGTTATTTGTCTGTCGCTTGATATACCACATGAAGGTGATCCATCGTGCAAAATCCGCTTACGAGGTTGGCTCCTTTCCGTTGGCTGTGAGAGCCTAGGTTTTCCTGAAAACGGTTTCGTCAGTACGTTTGTGAGGATCTTGCTGATGGTTGCTTACTGATTTTATGCTTGATGAATATGCTGAAAGGATAAGACTTCGCAAGCATTCAGATTAATCTTAAAAGTCTTATCAGCACGATTGTCAAATTCAGCTTGTTTTCTGACTAAAATTTTATTACTAATAAATGGATACGGCAACACCAGTTGAAAACGCGACAGTGTGTTTAAAGGACAACTACTATTTCAGTGATGACCAGAACTCTACGTTGCTGTCTGGAATCAACAAATTAACTGTATTCCTTGTAGCTGTGAATCATGAAATTCAAACATTAGACGTCAGATATGAGTATTGTTCTGTTCATGTTGTGAACAGCGTATGAGCAATTTCTTCATAAATTGTTCTCACTGAAGCAGATGAAAATTTTATTGATGAAAGATTTAAACAGTTTACTAGCATGCAAGCAATTGTTAGTCATAATATGTAGTATCGTACAATTTTTATTTGTACGTAGTATGTACATTAATGCTTGTAGTTCGCCGACTGCAGTTGAAATATATACGTTCCGAGCTAAGTATATTGCATTAGTTATACATACGCGTTACTAATGACCATTATGGAATGACAAAACAATATATGCTAATAATAAACGCAGCCCATTTCGTTCAATTCTAAATCAAAACGAGTGCTTTTGCACAGGACACAAATAACTTATAATTGATTATAAATTTCGTTACTGATTGACACCGAAATCAGTGTTTTTCGACGTTCGCGTTCTTCGCTTCTTGTCTACCCTCCTAAATAAAAATCTTTGCAGGTAGTTTCAACATATAACTATCAACAGGAAACAGAAGCACAACTGTTGTCCGTTCAGAATAAAACTCCTGTTTCTGATCAGGAGGAATGTCTGGGGCTGTTGAAAAATGGTTATACAATTAATGTTATCATTTTTTCATACAGCCAAACTTTTAACACAGAATCAGTGTATATATAAGAAAGTGACTTTCAGTTGTATACCCAAGTAGCAAATATGATTCGCTTTCAATAGACCCAGTTTTATATTCGACATTTTACTTACATAAAATGAAAGTCTATGAAAACTGTAACGTGCTGACAATAATTAATGTTATATGTGAATGAAAATAAAAGTCATTGGTAAATATTTACTTCTCAATGAAGCCTGATCCGCTAAAATGTTAAATTAGAAACAACTAGATGTTCGAGGCAGTGGCGCATTGGGTAGCTTGTTTAGCACTTTAGAGTTGCTGAGTTCAAACCTCACGCACGGCGTAGATTTTCTCTTATTAACCGTTAATTTCTTGTAGTAAGGAATTCACACTATCGTGTTTCGGTGCAACCAGCTGTAAAAGTCATTTGCCCGCAAATAATAAGAGCAATTCATCTGCTCTGGTGCGGTCGTGTCAAAGCCTGTGAGAGATAAAGCTACGATAGCTG